CACAAGTTTGAAGACACATGGGAAGAGCAACGACCAATTGAGACGGTATTAATTTTTTGCATATATTTTGTACTTTTTTAAGTGCGTCTAAATTGAACCTGATATAATTTGTTTTAATTTGCATTCTTTGTTTTTATTCTATCGAAGGATGATGATGATGAGTAAAGCACTGGTGATGCTGGAATATGTGTGGGTGGAGCTGGAGTATATTGTTTTGCACAACGTGGCTTAAAATTTGGTGGACTGTTGCTTTTAAATAGTTTTTCAAATTCTTAATCACCCCTCTCTTGTTTTAAATTAGTGCAGAATCCTAAATATTTGTTCGTGCACAAGATGTTTAAATTACTCTTTCCTTCAATTACAGGGAACTCTTCTCAAATCATGGAGGATTTAAATTTTGCTTCTCTTGTCAAAAGGGAACTTGAACAACTAGTTTCCAACAAGCATTTGGATCCTGACAACTTGTCACTGTTGATTGATTTTCTTGTGAAGAATCCTTCTGTTCGTTTAAATGACAAAGCACTTAGCAATTGGTTGAAGGGTTGTGCCTACAACCGCGTGAGTCATCTACTGAGATTCCTCCAAACCCATAGTCCTAATGATGTGTTAGGGTCAAGCCGCTCTGAGTTCATGTAGTTATTACAAGACGTGCGCAGATTTGGTTTTGATAAGGATTGGTTTAATGGTGTTGAAAGACGTGCCTTGTTTCTTGGTTTACAAATCTCACAAGATGCACTGCAAAAAGTATTGAACTCAAAACGCATCAATTAGCATCTTTTGACTCTGTTTTGGAGAGTATCATTCAACACGAGGCACAAGTTTTAGAAGCTGGGGCTGATTTGAGTTTTCCTATTAGATATTAGACTTTGGAGAGTATTATTCTGCTTGATCAAAGACCAAAAAATTTCTTCTCTTTCTTCTTGTCTTTGCATGTTTTTCTCTTAAAAGACTGTAAAAATGCATGAAGAATTTTAGTTTGGTATAGCCGTATGGGCATATGTCTGATATCTATGTGTTTAGTTTTGGAATTTTAGTTAACTTGTCTGTGCTGTATTATGTGACATTTTTTGAAGAATTTTAAATTAATTAAATGGTTGACCCGGCTGTTATGGTTTGATTACTTAGCTGTTGTTCTGATTCCTTGCACGAATTGACAATTAATTTTAAATTAATCACTGTTTTTCATTTTAGAACCGGAACCAGTCTCAACTATTTACTTTTAAGGAAAGTTCTGATCCTGTACTTTGTGCTTTTTGTTAGGAGTCATGTCCTTCTGTAAAGAACATCTTTCTTCTGGATTCTGATGGGAAACGGGTGGCGGTCAAATATTTCTCCGATGGCTGGCTGACGAATAGTACAAATTTAACATAATTCATGATCAAGAATCACCTTCACGTTTGGTTGATATCTGCCTATGATTGGAATAGATTGCTAATCGCTACTCATTATATGTCCTTGTTTTGCTAATATATTGATGTCACTTTTATTGTGTTTATGGGTTTTTTCATTTGACAGCGGAGATAGCAATGTTTGAGAGTAACATTGTTGTTTACAAGTTTGTCCAAGATCTTCACTTCTTTGTTACCGGGGGTGACAATGAAAACAAGGAAGCACTGGAGAACTTGGATCTCATTCTCTTGTGCATTAATGAAATTTTATGTTAAACTTTTGTAGTTTTATTGGCACTTTGATTCCATTTAGGTTTAATTTGCAAGATTACTCAGGTTTAAACATTTGTAGTATTATTGATATTTTGATTCCATTTATGTTAAATTTGCAAAGCATATTTACTTTGTTTTATCATGTATTTGGATCTATTAATTTTTAATGGTGAGACATTTTACATTTGTTACACTATTTGTATTTATCTTGGATTACATTTAATTATGTATAAATTTAATGACAATAGATTCAGAAGTTTAAATGTTCGATCAATCAATAATGTTTTTTTTAAATGATATAAAAATAATTATAAGATAAAACAGCAGTAAATAATTATTTAAAAAAAAGCAGTAATAGCAAATACAAAAGAAATGCAGTAATAGCAAATACAAAAAAAAGCAGCAAATAATCGCACAAAAAAACTGCATTTCAGAATCGCGGCGGTTCAAAACCGCCGCTAAAATTAATAAATTTTATTAAAATATTTTATTTCAACGTCGGTTATGTACATATAACGTCGGTTTTATTTTTAACGTCGGTTATTCCGGCGGTTGTATGTAACCGACGCTGAAATATTCAACGACGCCAATTTCTACGTCAGTTTTAAAAGGCCATTAAAAAATTTTGCGGCGATTCAAACCGCCGCTAAGATTAAAAAAAACCACCGCTAAGATTAAAAAAAACCGCCGCTAAAATACGTTTTTGCTGTAGTGGTGTCTGACACGCATCTTTAAAAAATTTTTGCGTGTCCGTGCTATATAGAGTAGAAGTAGGTATTTTCTTAAAAAAAAAATCAAAAGAAATAATTATAAAAGTAAGAATAATAAAAATGTATTTTTTGTATATTTGAAAAATATTTACCAAATAATCGGTATATTCGTAATATTAAAAATATTTTCATTCATTAGTGACAAAATAAAGAGACAGGAGAAACTATTAACTTTATTCGTTCAAACTTGGAACACATCCACTTTCAAAAAGAGAAAAACAAAAAAAAAACAAAAAAAGCTGAACGGTTAGTGGCTGAGTCACTTGATAACCAGTTAATGTCAAGAATAATATATATTTTCTTTAAAAATTATGATATAAACTTGGCAATAATAAAAATTTTAAAAATAATACAACCTTAACATTAGTTAGGTTCTGCCTGGCTGGATCGTTTGGCATGGATTTTTTTTCTGGTTCTGTGAACTGTACATTTGTTGTTTCTGCTGAGGGAAAGAGTTTCTCCTAAATGCTTGAAAACTGATGAAATGCCATTTGAATAAATGGAAGGACACTGTGTCACAACTGGAAATTGCTGTCTTTGTCTCTCTTTCCCTTTTTATCAACATCAGGACAAGGAGTTTGGGAAATATTGCTGGGCATTAAGCAAACCATTCGACTGGCATGAATTAGACTTAGGCATAGGGAGAGGGTTAAAAACAAAATTAGGTAGATCTAGATATTTTCAACTCCAACTGTATTATTGACTATATATTGAACAAACCATTTTTTATTCCAACCCTAAAATGTAAATGATATTTTTTTTACTTTAATTTTAATATTACACAAGTTGTCCATAGAATTTTAAAATTTTATAAATGATGCACAATATATTTATTTATTCATTAAAAGTATTACAAACAAGAAAATGAGCTAATTAAATTGGAAATTTAACCGATCATGATATATTTGCGCAATAAAGAACTTTAAATGATTTATAAATGTTGCGCATGCAATGAATTTGGAAACACGTACTTCAAAATAGTTACGTGTCTGTATCCAATACGTTTCATATTAAATATCATTAAGTTATATTTGACTATTTCTATCTTACAACTTTAAGTTGTTTTTTTTTTTTATGGACTTTAAGTTGTTTTTTACATTACAGTAAAAATTGATCTATGAATTATTTATATATTATTTCAATATATATTTTTGAATTAACATAACTTTAATTATTTTTGTGAGACAAGTTGACTCCTTCTGTATTTCAACAAGCTTCAATTCTTTGAGCTAGTTATAAACTAATCCGGAGTGAAGAACAGGTCTCTTTGAGGCGAGTTAGCTCTTCCGATACCCCACAAGCTTTGACTTTTTCAAAGTATGGGACAATCAGAGATAAAGATATTTAAATTATTCCAAAGATTATGGGACTAATTTGAAGTATGGAGTGGGTAGAGATAAATATATTTAAACCCTTCTTAAAAGATGCATGCAGGGTTGAACGAAGGCTTTTTTCTCTCACTTGCTCAGCTCCATTGCTATCAACTAAAGTATCATCATTTGCGTGACAAACTTGAAAGGGACTATGTAGGAGTAGTTTGGTCTAGGAGGTGTTCCTAGTTTCTTTTTTTGTTTTTCTGTTTCCTGTTTGCTTTTCAAAAAAGTATCATCATTTGATTATATTATTTTAATGAATTTTTTTTTGCCGTTAATGTAGATAAATTATTTACATTGAGTTTAAAACAACGTCATTTTAGAGCGAAAATCACTGTATTTTTATAATTATAACTTATTTCATGATTATAATAGTCTTTCTCATTATAAATTTTTAATCTTTTAACTCAAAATGATATCATTTTGAGAGTGAATATAAATAACGTATCTACTTTTATTATAAAAACATTATTATAATAGTTTTACATGATATGTTGTACGTTATATTCTTTAGTAAAAGGCGAAAGAATAGTTCGCTCTTTGCTTACCACACAGCTCCCTTAGAGGACGTTTGGTTAAGGAGAATTTTTTTGAATATTAGGGAAATGTAATTACTAAGGAAATGGTTGAAAAGTGAGTTTGGTAGAAAAATGTAGAAAAAATTGTTTGGTTGACCGAAATATTACCAGGAAAATTTATTTAAATTTGCAAAATCTATGTTCGGGAGAAACTTCGCACTTGTTTTTTCACTTTCCCAGTTATCTCAAAATACCACATCTCAAGTGGTATTCTGTAACAATGAATTTCATCCAAAAATCAACACAAAAGTCATTTCCTCATCTATCGTATTTGCCTAGTATTTTTTTTTTCAAAAACCTGAACCAAACGTAATATTTTCCAATATCCACTTACACTTTTCCATCAATCCCAAAATAAATCTTCTACCAAACACTACCTCTACCTTAGTACGTTATATTCCTTTATAAATATTACGTCATAAGTAGGTCTGCCAAATTCCCAATGATGTCATGCTGATTACGTAGCATTAGAAGCGTGATTCATGAGGACAACTACGAAGAAGGTACATGCTTTTGTTTGGCCTATAAAAGTTCAGGTGCTAGCTTCATGAATTGTCATGTGCCAAGCATAAACAAGAGTTTGAAATTACCACCTAGCTCGGTAGATATTGTTCTGCAATGGACACCACCACCGCACCAAAACCACTGTTAACCGACCTTGCCTCCACATTGAATCGTGTCCCTTCAAATTTCATTAGACTCCTTGGTGACCGTCCAAATCTCCAACACCTTCAACTTCAATCCTCCAATGCTTCCATTCCCATCATTGATCTCCAAGGTTTATATGGCTCCACACGTTCTCAAATCATCCAAAAGATTGCACAAGCTTGCCAAGATTATGGCTTTTTCCAAGTACATATCAAATCATACACTTATGCTTATATTTATAATGTTACGTTTATATTTACTCATTATTTATATTTGGCTAAAATATAAGTTACTCCCTTGAACTTTGACCATGTTTTAAATTACCCTATTGTCCTTTTAATTGTTTCAATTAACTCCCTATACTTTATAATTGTTTCAAATTAACAATTCTATTAAATTTTACAAACTCTGTTAAACCTCTTCTTATGTCCTATGTCCCAAATCTAAAAAATTTCTTCTCTATTTTCTTCTACTTTCTCCCATCTAGTAGTTGAATAACGAGTTAAAGACTATGCACAAGAAAACAACATAGTATTCTGAAATTAATTTAGTCGACTAGTGATGAATTCAGATCCAGTTTTTGCATTTTTCCTAACCACGGCATCCGTGTCAGCCATGAGTGAGGATTAAGGACTTGCTGTTTAGAAAATTAACAAGCGGGGAGGAACAACATCTGGATGTTTCTCAATAGATTATTTCATTGATTAGACTTAGGTTCATTGTCCATAAGAATCCAGTTTATGTTGGTGTCAGTGACTCAGTGACCATAGACTGAAAAGCAAAATCATGCCCTCTCATTTATTCCCCCCCTTCTCCATTCTGCATTATTATTTGAAGTTTCAGAACAATTATTTGTTCTTGTTACAGCCACGTGAAAGAGAGTTTGAATAGTATTTTAAATTTGAACAATCATTTTTAAGTTTTAGGAGGCATAAGTTGTTATAGATCCACATGAAAGGGAGTTTGTATCAGAGAAGATTAAAATAGAAGAAAAGAGAGAGACGAAATTTTTGAAATTTGGGACTTAGGGCAGGTGAGAAAATTTAACAAAATTTGTAAATTTTTTAACAGAATTGTTGAATTGAAACAATTATAAAGTATAAAAAATTAATTGAAACAATTAAAAATACAAGGAGGTAATTGGAAACATAGTCAAAGTTCAAGGGGGTAACTCATATTTTAGCCTTCATATTTAGTCATTGTCACACAAAAGTAATTGGTATTCTGAATTGCCCTTAAAAAAAGGCTTTGATCTTTAATTTTTTTTTTTTTTTTTTTAAATAAGATTGTGAATCATGGAGTTCCAGAGGGTGTGGTAGGTAACATGGTGAACGTGTCAAAAGAATTCTTCAAATTGCCAGAGCGTGAGAGGATGAAGAATTACTCTGATGACCCATCTAAGACAACCAGGCTTTCCACAAGTTTCAATGTGAAGACTGAGAAGTTTTCTAACTGGAGGGACTTCTTGAGACTTCACTGCCATCCTATCGAGGATTACATTCAGGAATGGCCCACCAACCCTCCATCTTTCAGGTTCAAAACTAGACAATTAATTTATTTAATATGTTAATAAATCATAAAAAAAAATAATCACTCTCCTTTAAATCCGGTTATTAGCGAATTTGGAGTTGAGGTAATCTTTGTATACAGTCTTATTCTTGCATATTTGCATAGAGAGAATAATTTTATCAGTGCTCCTATTCGCATTATGATAATAAATCATAATATAAAAAAAATAAAATTAAAGATCTTTTTATATAAAAGAATCATAATTTTAATTTGTTTGTGATGTTCAGAGAAGATGTGGCAGAGTATAGCAGAAATATGCGAGGGTTATCAGTGAGATTGCTTGAGGCAATATCAGAGAGCTTGGGTTTGGAAAGGGATTACATAGAAAAAGCACTAGGGAAGCATGGGCAGCACATGGCCATTAACTACTACCCTCCATGTCCTGAGCCAGAGCTAACATATGGCTTGCCTCCTCATACTGACCCCAATGCCATTACCATTCTGCTACAAACTGAAGTGCCTGGCTTGCAGGTCCTCAAGGATGGTACCTGGGTCACTGTTAATCCTATCCCTAACACCTTCATCGTTAATATTGGGGACCAACTTCAGGTAATTTAATTCACTCAAGCTTAAAATTCTATCGTGTTACTTCTTCAACTTTTTTTTATTAACAAAGGGTTGACATGTAAGCCTAGTCCTTAGGGAAGAAAAAAATGATTTGGATTTTCATGTGTTTTGAGTAGCAAGTAAAGTCATGTAATTAGAAATGCATTATTTTTGGGTCCATTGCTTTTTTTGGGGGGAGGGGGAGTGACCATTTTGTCATACCTGGCAAAAAAATTTATCACACTGTCACGTCAACAGTAAATTTTCCAAAATGCTACGCGGCATATTTCGCTACACTGTGTAGCGAAATATGTTTGCATATAATTCGTTTCACAGTGTAGCGAAATATGCCATGTCAAGTTGCACAGTCAGCAAAAATAACACGTGTCAAGCAGGCAGAAATTCGTTACACTGTGTAGCGAATTATGCTTGGATTCTGCCTGCTTGACACGTGTCATTTTTGCTAACTGTGTAGCCTGACATGGCATATTTCACTACACTGTGTAGCGAATTATATGCAAACATATTTCGCTACATAGTGTAGCGAAATATGCCTCGTGGCATTTTGGAAAAATTTACTGTTGACATGGCAATCTGATAAATTTTTTTGCCAGACGTGGCAAAATGGTCACTGTTCCCTTTTGGGGGCTTGTTTGGTGAGTGGGAAAAAGAGAATAAAAAGATTTGGGAGTATAAATAATGAATTCATCTCAAAAATTTAATTTACATCAAAGTTTTTTTTTTGGGTCCCTAACAAAAAATATGATTCCTATTTTAGTCTCTTAGAAAAATAAAATAGTTCTGAGGTCTCTAAGAAATTTAAAGTGGATCCATTTAGTTGAAATCGTGATTTCTCACAAATTCAAAAATGATCCACATTAGTATTTCAAAAGAACTAAAATGGATCCATTTTGAATTTTTTAAAAATCTCGGGACTAATTTTTTTTAAGAGACTAAAGTGAGAATCTTATTTTTTGTTAGGGACCCAAAAAGATTTTACTCTTTAAGTTATTAGGTAAAATTATATTAATTATTTTTTTTATATTTTTCTAACATGCCCATTTGTAAATTAAGGGAAAAGTTTTATTTATAAATTTTTTGTTTACAAATTATATTAACTATGACCGGTCATATTTCAATCAAAAATATATGACCAATCATATTTAATGTAACTGGTAAAAAAAATTTGTAAACGGATCATTTCCCATCGTAAAATAAATAACTCTTGATTTATTCATCTTTACTTACACATGTTGGTTTGGGTTTTGGAAAGGTGATAAGCAATGATAGGTACAAGAGTGTGCTGCATCGAGCATTAGTGAATTGTGAGGAGGAGAGAATGTCCATTCCAACTTTCTACTGCCCCTCACAGGATGCAGTGATAGGACCAGCTCCCCAACTCATAGGCCATGATCATCCTCCTCAATACACAAACTTTACATACGGTGAATATTACGACAAGTTCTGGAAGAGGGGACTTTCAAAAGAAACCTGCGTGGACATGTTCAAGGCTTAAATTAGCTCATCACATTGGCAAAAATGCTCACACACTTCGTAAACTTTACCTCGATTTGAAATAGAAACAAATGAGCTTTTGATTTTAGATGAAGGGTCCCTGGATTTTATAAAATAAATAAATCTTTTTATGCATAAGTTAAATAAAAATCATTCATCATATTATTTGGATGCATTGATTAATTAACATGATAATTTTTAATTTATTCATATTTTCATAAAAAATAAAAGTTGCTTCTATTTAAATTATTCTATAGGATAAGACTTTTCGAAACCATGTATATTAATCAAATTACATGATTAGTGAACAGAAAGTTCTATATATTTGCATGTTTTCAAGTATTTAAAGACCTTTCATCCAAATTTGTAGGTTCATGATGCGTATTTCGAAATGAAGTAAAGTTAGGGTGTTTATGCATTTTTTTCCATGTATATGCTAATTGAAAGCTGTATATGTGGAGTTCCACATCCAATTTAGATAATCTATGGCCTCTAGATGTGATGTAATTGAAATTTATGTTTTGTTGTTGGAGAGAAATACCTTTGATTTACATGTTAGAAAGAAAATAATTACTTTGGAATTAAAAAAAAGCTCAGAAATTGAAAATAGAAAATTATCTCTAGCACATAATTATTATTAATATTCAAATTTAAACATAAAACGAAAGTGGGGTGATAATTCGAGTTGATATGCCCAGAATTTAACATAAACACAAATAATTAAATATAAATGTGACATAAATTTGAAAATGAGTCAAAATCTTTGATACATACACAATTCACTTATTTTGTGAGTTGACATGTCATAACATAAGTAATTTACCAATCTCAAATTGTGTCACGTATTATCAATACAACATGAATAATATGTGAATTGACGCAACACGATAAGACATTATTAATGTTGCTTTCACCATATCGTGTTAATTTGACAACACAAATAATTTATAGAAAGATTAACGTGGGACTATTTTGTTTTTACTTTTATCATTTTTGGTTACTATTTTAAGTTTTCAACATATTTGGTCTTTTCTTTTTCTTTTTCTTTTTCTTTTTCTTTTTGTCTTCAATCTATTTTTTTATGTAGACTTTTTATTTTATTTTTTTACTTTTAACCTTTTTATGTTATTATTGTAAGTTTTCAACATATTTGGACTTTTTTATTGTCTCCCTAGACTATTTTCTTCTTTTTGATTTTGACATATTTAATTTTTCTTCTATTTTTTTTTATTTTTAGTCTTTTCTATAAGTGTTGTAAGTTTTCAACATATTTGATCTTTTTTTTTTTTTTGTTCTTACACTATTTTCTTTCTCGACGTAGGGTAAAATATGTAGATTGATTTAGTGTTTTTTTTTATACAAGTAAAAATTGAACACATGACTTAAGATAACTTACCTAAATCCCTCACTACTAGAGCAATTCTAGTGGCTTGATTAATTTAGTTTCTAACAGTGTTAATGATGATTTGGATAAAAAAAACAGAGAGATAAATGATTAAAAAAATAGGGATATAATTGATTCAAAGCATAATCATAAAGGGTTTTTCTAACTTTTCCTTATAAATAATTAAGTCACTCTTAAGCAAATATTTTATAATTATAAATATAGGAGGATAATTAATGGTTGGAATTAAAATTATTTTCCACAAAATATCATTAAACATTATTAAATTAATTAGATAATTAAAATAAAAAATATTCCTTTCTTTAGTATGAAGATGAACGGATGAAACAATTAATTGTATGAAGTCTCTTAGATCGCGTTTGGTACCCGGTTTTTATTGCAACTTCCCGAGAAAGTATGGTATGACAAAAAAGAAACCCGTGTTTGGTATGCAAAAAAATAAATAAATTCCAGAGTACAAACTTTTTCCAGCAAACCATGTTGTGTCCAATTTACAGTACGAAATGCAAAAGTGAAATTCCATATATTAGATGGAACTATTTCGGTCCCGAGGAAATAGAAATTGAAGCGCCAAATTATTGACGAAATTAACCTTCAACACAATATAATATTTCAAACAAAACGTAAAGCTGAGGTTATTTTCGTAAAATAACCTCATTTTTTCACTAATATTTCACAACCAACCAAACACACATTCAGTAAAATTAACCATAAATTTTACCATACCAAACACTTTTTACTAACATTCCAGAAAACATATATTTTCCACAGTATTTTGGTAATAATTATTTCTCGGATTTAAAAAAATTTCTCCTCTACCAAACATCCCTTAATCTAATTTGAACTTTTCTTAAAGCAGTGTAGGGGGAGAGAGGAATTTTCTATCTGCTATTGCTTAGAGCTAGCTCTTTGGGCCGCGTTATTCCTTATTTATGTGAAACTTAAAAACGGCCTTAATATTGGATAGACTTATGGCCCAAAAGATAATAATAGTTTACTCATTCAGTCTACGACATCTTGTCTCCCCCAACATGGGGTTGCTGATAAGAATGTACGTCCTTTTGTATTAAATAGGTAAATTATTTGTTAAAAGAATTATATTGATGAATAGTTATACATTTTGCTTTACATGGGTCAAAAAGCCAAAATCTAGACTCAATTAAATTTTATATTATTTTTGGCATGTGTACTTACACAGTTAAATACTTATTGTAGCATTTTGTTAGCAAGAGGTTTAATCAAATAATATGCAAAAGCTACTAGTGGCAGGTCATTGTTCCTGATTTGTCAATCACCAAATCAGGAGCTTTCATGCGTTTTCAAATTCCATTTAAAACCACAATTTGATTAATCTATTGAGTATTGACAAAAAGAATACCTAATTATGTAGTTTTTTTTTTTTTTTTTTTGTAAACACCTATAATTATGTAGCTTAAAACAAAAAAGTCTAGCAAAGTCCAACTTTGCTTGCTTAATGCTTGCAAACCTACCGCAAACAAAGTCGACTTTTTCATACCAGATTAACATATAGTATATGTGATAAATTATTCGGTTTTATCTTTCTTATGTTGTAGGAGATAAAATTGTCTCTTACTTTTTATCTCCTACACGCGTGAGGCCTATGTGAGGCCATGTGAAGAAAAAGAGAGAAAAAAAAAATATAAGTCTTACACACTTTTATATATGTGTAGGAGATAAAATTATCTCATACAATATGAGAGATATTAAAGCCTCAATTATTTATTATAAAAGTTCACAGACTAAATGATTAATATAAAAAATAATAAAATGTCAAGGACTAAACTTTACAACTTGTGCAACTTGATTTATGACTTTATGAGAAATTTGCAGTTTTATGTGTGTATATATTGTAAGTAGGAATATTTGCTCATAATTTGAGATGATTGGTTAACTTACATTATAGGGTAGGTTAACAGAATTTTTTTTGGGTAAGCAACAGAAATATTTTAAATTAACATCATCCTTCTTAACTTCTTTCAATTAATATATAATATGACTCATTCATGGTTTCCATTAACTCAAAATAAGATTTAAAATTGGATTTATTGTTAACTTAAAATTTTACACTTTTTTTTTGGTAGAAACACTATTATTTAATTATATGGTTGTATTATTAAAAAAATTTAATATATTGTATAGCTGTTAAGGTTGACTCATAATTTGTTTGCTGATATGTATATATAATTTTGGTCCTATTTTTAATTTCACCACCTAATCTACGTGGGATTATTAATTCAATAACTCGACTTTCTTTCTGGGGGAAATTGTGTGGCAGATTGATTCGTTATTTATGCCTACCTAGATAATCAGGTTTTCCAGATTTTTCTGCTGCCTTTTATTGATTGTGGCGATATTATGCAACGAGACTTGATGGGTGTTTGTTTTTTCAAATTATATAATAGTTAATTTTATGTACATTTATTATTTAAAAAAAAAAAAGTAAAAAATTAACTTGACCTACATTTAGGTTATTGCTTGGACATGGGACTTGGGAGAGAGCAGAGCTTCTCTAATTGCTCTATATCTTTCTTTTTACTATAATTTTTCCTTTTCTGCGCTGCATTACAGTTTTACAAGTAATTATAGATTCTTTCATCACTGTAATTCTGTTTCTTTCAAGCTTGAACCATATCTTGTAATTTTCTGTCATTGAAATACAAGATTCGAGCATTTATTTCCCAATGATTGATTTAAGTATGTAAAGATGAATCGCCTATGGGGTTAATTTGTTGAAGACTTGGAGTTAAAATTTGATCAATCAACCTTGTATCTGGTACAAACTTATTTCTAAAGTTTTATGGGGGGGAATATATGATAAATGACATATATAACAGTGAATTTATTTTAAGTGGGGGCTTTACATTCTTAAACGTGATTACGATCCTTTTTAAAAAAAGAAAAAAAAAAGAAGAAAAGAAATACTACATCCTGTTTTTCGTATGTTATTTTTCATAAAATGCGTATAAACCTGTCACAGTAAATAAATTTAAAATCTTAATATTAATATAAAGGTAATTAAAAAAATACCACACTCTTTAAAAATAACTCGTAACTAATTTTATTTCTTCCAGTTATAATTTATTTAATATAATTTAATAAAATAAACACAAATTTAATCATATATTAAAATTTTAATAAAATATTCACCCAAAAAATAATTAAAATATAATAAAAACTTTATATTTTATACTAGCGTATGATGATGTTTCCCCTAAGGGATATGATCAACTTATAATGATGTGAGAATAAAGTTTTTTACACTCAATTGTAATAATTTACTGTTTGCATTTACCGACTCTTTATTAGACTGATGTAAAATAATTTTGACCATATAACGATATTTTGCATCCTTCCAAGTTTTCAAATCTAAAAGACTTGGATAAGACTCAAGAGAATATTAGTTATAATGTCACTATAGATTCGGATTTATGGTGAGATATCCGTTATTTAAAATTAATTTAATACAATAAGTAGGTATGTATTATAGAATTTAATAACAGACACAAGTTGATTATGAATTAAGGCTCCTTACTCAGTTTTTACTCCTTTAATTTGATATTTGATTCACAGTATTTATCAATGGAGGTCATTGAGTGACGCGATGGGGATTCAGCGGCACTGAGTGCCGTTACCATCCTCCCGCGTCACTCCCATTCTTTTTTTCCTTTTTTCTTTTTTCTTTTTTTTCAATTGAGTGACGCTTCCTCACCTGGGGCACTGACATGATTATGCCAAGTGGCACAACAATCTCGTCAGTCCCGTTACCGTAAAATTTCGGAAAGCCATAACTTTTAAGTCGGGTATCCAAATTAGATGATTTTTTTTTATTTCACATAACTTTTCGAGATCTACGCATTGACATCTCATTTGACATATTTTATCTTCCATTAACATAGTTCAAATTTGTAACACTAGTTCCACTTTTTTACAAATTTGAACTATGTTTGTGAGAGATAAAATATGTCAAATGAAGTGTAATTGCGTAGATATCAAAAAATTATGTGAAATAAAAAAAAAATCATCTGATTTGGATACTCGAGTCAAGAATTATGGCTTTATGAAGTTTTACGGTAACATGACTCACGAAATTGTGCCACTTGGCACAATCCTGTAAATACTCCAAGGGAGGAGAGGCGTCACTCAATTGAAAAAAAAAAAAGAATGTGAGTGACGAGGGGATGGTAGCGACACTCAGTGACGTTGGGTACCACTCGCATCACTAAATAAACCCTCATTGATAAATACCGTGAACCAAATACCAAATTGATAAATTAAAACCTTAAAAAACCGCTGGTTGGTCAAAGAGCCTATGAATTAAAGTCCATATAATATCCCTCTTCAACAAACAATGCTTCGTTGAGATCTAGATAGAACTGCCTATAAATAGTTGGTAGCAAGCATAAACCTCAAAGTCATTAATCCATTGATTATTCCGAGCTAGCCAAGCAGCAAATAGAGGTATGTATATATATTCACATTCTCTATAACCTGAAACTGCTAATTAAACACTTCACAATTATTAAAATCTTTGTTTATATATTCCAGTGATTTATTTGGCTCTGCAAAGCCTAATGGGAACTCATCTAGAGTTCAATGGCGTGGAAGCAAAACAGCACCTACAAAGAAAGGGAGAGATAGAAGATGAAGCAGAAAACTACAGCTATGCCATTCAGATGGTGAATTCTATTGCGCTACCCATGTCCTTGCATGCTATATTGGAGCTTGGCGTGTTAGATATAATACAGAAAGCAGGTCCAGATGCTAAGGTCTCAGCCAAGGACATCGCAGCACAAATTTCTTGTAAGAATCCTGATGCACCCACCATGCTAGACAGGATCCTCATGCTCTTGTCCAGTTACTCTGTGCTTCATTGTTCTGTTGTTGATGCTGATGGTGATGATGAAAGTGGTTCTTTTAAGAGATTATACAGTCTGAATTCTGTGTCCAGATATCTTGTGCCCAATCAGGATGGGGTGTCATTGAAGCCTCTCATGGCATTGATTCATGACAAGGTCTTTTTGCAAAACTGGTTAGTTTTCTCAATTTCTCTGCTTCCTATTTTTATTTTTATTTTTCTAGTACATACTATACCAAATAGTTAACGGCGGAGACTTCTGGAGAGATATAATATAATATAATATAATATTATTGAAAGTCTATCACTTACCCGCTTGAGTTGTTCGGATGAAATGATTGCTTCACAAGGTATTAGAGCCACCTGATTACGGGATCATGAATTTGATCTTCACCATCTCTCACTTTGTAGGAGAATTAAGTCAGTACAAAGTAGAATAACAAAATGAGCTTATGTGCATAAAAAAAAATGAGCTTATATAATATTCACGCTTCAAGCTCAAATACTTCTAGTGTGAGAGTATGTGTTAGAGAAATATATTAAGTGACACGTCTTAATCTAAAAGTTTAAGATAATAAATTCATGAATTTTTCTACTGGTGTGATTCTTACTTAATGTATTTTTAACCAGTGTGAGATTTTACTCACACTTAAATTCCTAACACTACCTTATATTGATTTTAGATTGTTTTATCAATATTCATCCTAAAATGAATAATTAAAATTTGTTAAATATTCCATTTAACATGAATATTAATTGTGAATATATTTTAATTCAGAACTTAGTTGACTTTTGATCTTAATTATCATGACTCACTTATCCTGTAATTTTGCATTATATGCTTTTAGAATTTATGATTTTTTTTGGAAACTAGAATTTATGATTAAATGGTTTAAAATTCGATCCTTCTCGACTCCTTTTTAAATAAAACAAGGGACTTTTGTGTAATTTTGCATTATATAAATTTATGATCAAGTGGTTTAAAGCGCAATCCTTCTCACCTCCTTTTTAAATAAAATCAAGGGTTAAACTAAGTACACAATAAATTGAAAAAATAGACGTGTGCATTGTGCACATTTCAAAACCCAAAGATTTTTGAGATTGCCTAAAGATATCAGTGTGCTTCTCAATTGTTGTGTATAGGCTTATTTGTCTTTCTCTTTTTTGGAACAATTGTAACGGCTGAGTGGCCGATGGGTATGTATGTGCATTTTATATGATCTTATAATTTCGACATATGATTCTTTTTCCTTTACTAAATAGAAAAAATAAAAATAAAAATTTCCATCCAATTCATTCATAGGTCCCAATTGAAAGAGGCAATTTTGGAAGGTGGTATACCCTTCAACAGAGTTCATGGCATGCATGCCTTTGAGTATCCGAGCTTCGACCCCAGGTTCAATCAAGTTTTTAATGCAGCAATGAGCAACGCCACGCGCATCGCCGCAAAGAAGATTCTCGAATCCTACAAAGGCTTTGAGCACATCAATAAGGTAGTGGATGTTGGAGGTGGTCTGGGCACTACCCTTAGTTTCGTCGTCTCCAAATACCCTCACATTCAGGGAATAAATTACGACTTGCCTCACGTCATAAAAGAAGCTCCTTCATATCCTGGTAAGATCCTTGCATTTACATTAATTCATGCTAACGGTGTGGAGAGAAGTAAATAAAAAAGATTAACAAAGAAGGTATAATACTCTATCTGTTGGGGATCTCCGTTGGTTGCTTAACGTGAGGTTTATAAAGTCTTGGATACTTTTATTTTTTAAGCTAGCTTTTGAAGTGGTGACTTCAAAGTCGGTAACAATTAGTGTTTTAATTGAGAGCTGATGTCATGAAAACGGAGAAGTGGGTGAAACCATGTTGTTAAAATTTTGATTTATCATTACGATTTTACGTTTTTCATAATTTTTTTTCATCAAAACGATTTTTCCCATATTTTAAATGCTTTTACGTTTTTAAGATTTTTTACGATTTTTTTACTTTACGATTTTTTAGTCATATTTCGATTTTACTTAAAATCTCGATTTTAACAACATTGGATGAAACCCCAAAAAGAAAAAGGCTAACGACAGATCAGTGTCGTGCCGCCATGAACGTCGATCTCAAATGGGGTGGCAATGTTTTTTCCTCCGAAAATATAAAGTTGTAATAAACTAATTATTCAGCTGTCACAATTCACACGGGTACACTCGTTGGAGCTACCTTTCTTTTTCACTCTAAATCTGAACCCTCTAATTTTTTTTTTAAAATGTGTTTTTTTTCCAACAAAAAGTGCTCGACCGGTGGAGATTAAATGCAGGCCGAATATATAGGCAAATATCAAATTACATAATATGAATTGAGTGTTCAGTATCATTTTTGGGAGGGTTTAAAGTCTTAATCTCTGGACACGTCCTAAATCGGACTAGTCACGAAGTCATAAATCAATTGAAATATGGCCAAAAACAAAATAAAATAATATGAACCGAGTCGGTTGAATTCAAACTGACTTAAAAGAAATTGATATCTAAAGGCCCATTTGAAAAAAAATTATTGGACCAATGAGTTGGTGAAAACTGATTGATTAATTATTTGATGTTGATCTGTTCTTGAAATATTAACTTATATTATTGTCTAAAAATATCCATAAAATATACACGCATTACCAAGTTGCATATTGCTGCAGGCGTGACGCATGTGGGAGGGGATATGTTTGAAAGTGTTCCACACGGAGACGCCATAATAATGAAGGTGCATTTTTAGTTTCGACATCATTAGTGTAATGAATCATTTTTTTTCACTGTATTCTCTCTCTCTCTCTCTCTCTCTCTATGTCACTGTTTTACCTACTTATCGCGTGTTTTTAAATCAAATAAATAAGTTTGTTATGTGTCGTATGTTATGGAGAGTCTTAATATGATTTAGTATATACAATAGGTAGGCTACTTGGCTATTTGGCTTCTCTTGAAGTACTTAACGACCTAATTAATTAATTATCATCTTGACGTGGAATCAGCAACATGATTCTTATTAAATATAACTAAAACAAAATGCTGGCCCTTTGGCATTGAGGTTGTAACTCGTACGTAAGAATATATAAGATATAAATTTCTTTTGGATTAAAGAGGGAATGTACCATTAAGGTGAGTAAGACAACTAAGAGGTCCCCAGGAGACCACGGAGGGCAGGAAAGGGAAAACGAGAAACTCCTTGATTAACGTAAGCAAATAAATAAAGTAATTAAAAAACTTAATAGTTGTTATAAAAAAGAATAATAAAATAGCCGGTTATGTCTTTACGTGTAATTCAACTTGAATGTCTCATCCATGTTTCGTTAGAACAAATCAAAAGGTTGAAAAGTCTTCTATTTATGTATTTTTATTAGTTTGCTTGTCTTTTTCCTTATTTGTGTTTTTTAAACATTGAATGATCAAATACACTCTTTTGGAACATAATTTGGATTTGTAGCTTATACTTCATGATTGGAGTGATGAACGGTGCTTGAAGCTATTGAAGAACTGCTATAATGCTATTCCTGATAATGGGAAGGTCATTATTGTGGAGCAAATCCTTCCCGCAATGCCTGAAAATAGTACCAAGGTGAAGGCTGCATGCCAAACTGATGTTCTTATGATGACTCAAAATCCAGGAGGGAAGGAACGAAGCGAAGAAGAATTCATGGAACTAGCAACTAGATCAGGATTTAGCGGCGTTAGATATGAATGTTTTGCTAATGACCTTAGGGTTATGGAGTTCTTCAAGTAGATGGCTTGTGGACTTGTCTGTTGATTAATGCTCAAGACCTTAGGGTTATGGAGTTCTTCAAGCAGACAGCATGTACTATATATATTGTTGCCTGACGAAATTAGAATTGGAATTGTTGTTACCACTATATTTATGCATTTCAAAAATAAATCAGGTTGACCTGAAGTGTGTATTATTGTAGTTCTGGATTTGCATTTATATATAATCCAAAGGTGTGTTTTTGGGTATATACCAGCAAATTTTATATAGAAGAGAATATATGGGTTGAAATAGGTAGCATGGCAAAATGAATAAGAGAATAAACGAATTTTGTATAAAAGTAGAAAATACCAGCAAAATGTGATTTCATTCGATATGTATTTAATACGATGCTTGGATTAAACAGTTATAATTTATTAAATTCTATTTATAATAATAATATATATATATATATATATATATATATATATATATATATATATATATATATATATATATCGGACAAGATCCTTTGATACTCGTATTAAATTTTGAAATTTAACATCAAATTCTAAATGTTGATTTTCTTCAATTAACGGTTATTATTTACTAGGAATCAAACTTATTAATTAATTATTAATTTCAAATAAATGATAACTGTATTGGCAGAAATCAACGGTTAGAATTTGGTGTCAAATTTTAAAGTTTGAAACCGGTGTCAAATGATCACTTGATACCAGTGTTAAACTAAAAGTTTGACACCAAATTTTAGCCGCTGGTAAATAATAATTAATTAATGGAAAGATATTGAGAAAAGACTTATAAATGGTGTTTATAGATCTTGAGAAGACATACGATAGGGTTCCAAAAAAGGTACTATGGTGGGTTCTTGAGAAGAAAAAAGTATCATTAAAATATGTAGATGCAATCAAGGATATATGATGGTGCTACTACACGTGTGAAAGCTTGAAATAGAACATCAAGGATTTTTTTGATTACGGTAGGTGTACACCAAGGTTCTGCTATAAGTCCTTGCCTAGCTCATTGCCCAAGTCATGGATGAACTAACAAAGTTTATTTTTTATGTGTCTCCAAATTATTATGTATTAAGGGTTAATATAAGCATGAAATTGATTTAAAAATAATTAAAAGTTATGAGAGTTATAATTAAAGTGTTATTTTATTCTCAATAATATTCTCATAAAATTCTTATATTTTGCAGTAATTTTTAGCTCAATAAAAAGATAGATTGGAGAGCTCACGTGGATTTGTTTTGAGATTTTTAAATCATATAATTGATTGAAGATCTTATTGAATATCATCTTTAATATTTTTAAGGAAAGTTTTTATTTAAATATAAAAGGGAAGATTTTAAGGATTTGATTGAAGATATAATTGGAGATTCTAAGGAAGATTCCATTGAAGATCTTATGAAAAATTAAAAGATATTGTTTCATCACTATAAAAGGCAACTATTGGAAACAGAAGGGGGGCTGACACATTCAGAAAGGGAGGAGCTTTTGCTGGAGATTGGAGAATTTCAGAGAGAGAGAAGACTTAAAGAATCGGACAACATTGATTTCTTTTCTTCTTCTTCTACTTCTTTTTATTTCTTTGTTTTGTTTAAGCCAGTTATGTAGTAGAAGATGCTAGATACAAGGCACGTTTGGTAGCAAAAGTTACATTCAAAGGGAAGGATTAGATTTCAACGAAGTATTCTCACTAGTGGATACTTCAATTCTTATTTTACTTGGATTAGTTGCCTTGTATGATTTGGAGCTTGAACAACTTGATCTTATAACTGCTTTTGTTCATGGTGAGCTAGAGGAACTGATTTACATGAAGGTTTTTTTGTTCAGGGTAAAGAAGATCATGATTGCTTGTTAAATAAATCAACTTATAGGTTAAAGCAATCCTCACGACAGTGGTATAAGCGGTTTAATTGTTTTATGATTGATAATGGTTATTCTAGAAATAGCTATGACAATTGTGTATAGTTCAAGAAGCTCTCAGTTGGTTCCTTTTTATACTTATTATTATATGTTGATGATATGTTGATAGTTGCTAATAATATGTCATAAATTTCTAAGTTGAAATCGCAGCTCAACTCAGAGTTCGAGATGATAGATTAGGTGCAACTCAAAAAAATTTGGGCATGGAAATTCATCGAGACCGTGAAGCAGGCAAGCTTTGTTTATCTCAGAAAAATTTATATTAAGAAAGTGCTTGAAAGGTTCAGGATGGAAAGTTACAAGCCATTTTGTACACCCTTGCTACACATTTTCGCCTATCAATGAAGTTGTCCCCAAAAACTAATGAGGAGAAGGAACACATATCATGTATTTCTTATACTAGTGCCATTGGAAGTCTTATGTTTGCCAAGGTATGTACTCGCCCTAATATTTAATATGTTATTAGGGTTGTCAATAGGTATATGGAGAACCCAGGAAAAAAACACGGGCATGCGGTGAAATTGATACTACAATATTTGCAGGGAACTTCAGATGTTGGTCTGGTATTTGAAAGTAGCAGTATTAACACTTTCAAAAATATTGTTGGTTTTGTGGACTTAAATTATGTTGGCGATATGGACAAGAGGTGATCCTTTACATGTTATATTTTCACTCTCTCAAGATGTGCCATTAGCTGGAAAGCAACTTTACAGTCAACGATTGCTCTTTCAACTACTGAGGCACAATATATGGCGCTAACAGAGGCAGTGAAAGAAACCATCTGGCTTAGAGGTTTGGTTTCAGATTTGGGCTTAGAACAAAGTCTATTAGTTGCCTACTGTGATAGCCAGAGTGCTATACATTTGACCAAAAATCAAATGCATCATGAACGGACCAAATATATCCATGTCAGGTTTCTCTCCATCAGAAATATTATATATGAAGAATTTATCAAAATTGGAAAAATTGCTACTGCAGATAATCCAGCAGATATGATGACAAAGCCTGTAACAACAATCAAGTTCAATCACTGCTCGAACATGGTTGGTGTTTATAAAGTATAATTCCTTATTGGATTTTTTGGAGAAGACTACATCAGAAGTTTTTTAAGGTGGAGTTCATTTTGCTGCTTTATTCCCATATCTGTTGGAGGGGGAGAACTGTTGTGTCATTGGTACTTGCAATCTACAAGTCTTCACATGTTTGTAGCATTGTGTTGACGTGTTATCTGCAAAGCCTCGCTATTTTACATCCTTGGTATAAGAACTCGCATCGTTAATTTATGAATTTAATTAATTAATTATGAGATTAATGAGATAATTCCATAATTGACACTAATAATTATGAGAAGGCTTAAATAACTATGGTAAGTAATTAATAATGTTGAAAGTCGCTTTTCTGACGAAAAGTACAGATACCGGTTCTGCCTCACGATATAAATGCGTACCGATGAAGTATCCCAGAAAATTATGAAAAGTATGTATATGTCACTAGAATAATATATAGGACTGACATAACAAGTTTCAAGTCAAGATAATGAGACCTGGTGCCAGAACTGATACTGGCTAAGTAAAAGCGCGTACCGGAAAAGTGCTGCGAAAAATAATATAAAAATATGACAAATCCTAGAAAAATGAGTAGGTTCAGATTCCATAGTTTGAGATTAAAATTCTAAGTGTAGCTATTAGCGCTAATACAGTGTGATATAATTAATGAAACTATAAATAGGAAGTTACACACAACCCTAGGCTGATTTGATCAGCTCTACGTGTCTTGCGTGTGGCTCCATTTCTGAACCTTTGGTTTCTCCTCTTGCCACCACCATTTTTCTTCAAGAACAAGCCCAAGTGATCACATTTCTCCACTCTTTCTTCATCTAAACACCAAAGCCTTGTGTGAGTGGGTTTTGTGAGGGTGTGAAAGTACATCATTTTCTGTGCTTGGTCTCTGTGAGTGTTGGTTAGGGGATGAGTTCTTGAACTCCTTGGTGTGAGCCATTCTCTTGGCTTTTGATGGTGCGAGAAGCTACCTTGTGAAGCAAAGATCTAGTTTTGTTAGCCATTTTCGTGTACCCTTAAAGTCAGAATTGTGGAACTGACTTGTGAGCTCCAAGAGCATCATTCATCTTTGTTTTGGAGCTTGGGGTAAGTTGTTGAACCTTGATCATGAGTTTTGGTTGCTTAAAGGTTGAGTCTTGTCATGTTAATGATTTAAATAAGTAACCAACCTGAACATGAACCTAAAAGTGAATAAAAATGCATGCTTGGACATTTTAATGGGTTAAAAACCGAACCTTTGGAGTGATATCTTGCAAAATGCAGAAACTGCATTCTGTCGCGAAATATCCGGATATGGGGTTGGAAATTTCCGGATATTGATATCCGAATATGGGACTTGTGATATATGGATATCCAGATATGTCCCCGACAAATATCCGAATATTCTGGGAATTTCGTGACAGTGACTGTTCTGTTCATACATAACTGAATTTGGGGTTTGGGGACTCTAGATTGGTTAAGTTGAACCTCTGTGATAATTATCTAAGTCAGAATCTAAGTGATTAAGGGCGTACTTTGTGAGAAGCCTAAAGACATAAAACGTAAAGGGAAAGCGTTGTCTTTATGTTATATGCTTGTAAAGTATGATTGTTGATATGATTGCTGGTCTAAAACAGATTGTGATTCTGCTGTTTTTGGGCTTTGAGCTGGTTGGACTCTTGTTGGGATAGTTAGCTTGCGAGGTAAGCTTTCGTGTCCTCGGTTTAGCCATTGTTGGTTCCACCATACCCCATGGGGGAATGATTTATATGCATGATGTGTTTTCATGTATTGATTTATTGAAATGCTTTTAAGCTGTTAAGTGCAAATGTCCTATGATATGTATGTGATGTTTCGCCTAGACGGGATGATGATCATGTGGGCAGGTACGACATGGGCGTGTACTATTGTGGGTTGTAGACGTTCGTACATCCTGCATTCCTCTTGCCAGAAGAATAGTTGACACACATGACATGATTATATGCTGCATTGCACTGATTTTGGAACTCATACTGTTTTACTGCTTTTGAACTTATTTTGCACATGTAAGTGA